CAGGAGCATCAGAACCCCCATTGACCTTTTATGTTGAAACTTGTCAAAAAACTGTGAAAAAAGCCAAGAAAAAGAAGTGGAACCGTAGTGCCAGTGATAGCTCCAGTGACGACGAACAAAAGGAACAAGCGAGGCCGGCCCTTCCCCGAAACCAAGTTGCCAGCTCTGCTTTGCTCCACCGGCAACTTGGTTCAGCAGGGCGCGGGCCTCGCTTAGCCTGCTGGTGGCGTTTGGTACGGGCCGAAGGCACTTACTGCTCTGTCTGATATCTCTGCAATTTTCATTACCTGGGATCCTAAACAAGAGTGGCAAATTATGAAGAGAGCTACACTCCGAAGGGCAGGGGGGTTCGTAGAGTGATAGGAGCTATAGATGACTGTCACATTTATATTGGTACTCCTAAAATTGACCCACGGCCCTACTTTAATCGTCATCATAGACATTCAGTTGTACTGCAAGCAGTTGCCGATTAGATGCCAATTTTTAGAGATATTAATGTTGGATAACCTGGATCTAATCAAGATTCAAGAGTGTTTCGGAGGAACCCCTTCCTTGTGCTTTAATCTCTTAGAGCATCCTGGGAGCAACCTAGGAGCCTTTGGCCATATTCTGGGAGATGGTGCATACATCCTCACAGACAAGGTAAGCCTGGTTAGCCTAAATAGGAAAATTTCAAAACAAAGCTGTCTGATTTCTTACAGTAGCAATTTGACAATTTGATTGCGTTGCTTCCTTCCCTTAAAAAACCCAGTTCTTAAAATCATTATTCCTTAAACATAGGAATGTTTTTTCGTGACAATGGGAATTCAAACGAACAACAGGCCAACTACAACCACCGACATGCCAGTGCCCGGTCAGTTGTAGCGCGAGCTTTTGGAGCTCTTAAAAATAAATGGAGCCGGCTGTATTTCCTTACTTTAGGGAATATTGAATATGCCCTATTGACAATAGTCTCCAGTGTTGTTTTATACAATATCCTGAAACAAGGGGGGTAACATGAGGCAAAATTGGCTAACTGCAACGTGTAAAGTCCATTTTCTTACTCTAATTACACACACTGTGCTTGTATAGGATGATAATCCCGGTCACTTTCAGCCTATAGAAGCCTATTGTCGCTGATGATGGCATTGGGTTTGATTATGACCATCCTAAAGTTCCCATTGAGAGAGACCGTCCACTTTTATCTAAAGCAAGACAACTTGGGGTGGAAAAGCAGTGGGACATAGTAGGGCGCCTTCCAATCGCACTTAATTGAGCCAGTAGATGTATTCTGATTGATTGAGCTGCATCAATAAAAAGTTTGTTACAAACTGCCTTCTCGTACTCGCGACTAATTTCCTCCCCTCTCCCTCAATTGTGTCAAGAGTTTCGAGGATTCTTGGGTCTAATATTTTTGCTACATTTCCCACTAATTACGAGTTTAGAGGCCTAAATACTTAAAAACCCTCTGTTGTTCGCTGAAGGCTGAAGGTGATAAGCCTAAAAGAAGATGATCCGTTACCACAGATATTACCATATCGATCTCAGATTAGCTCACTTTTGCAATAATTGTGACACCAAAACAATGTAACGTTGTTGATGTGTGGTGTGGATACTTATGTGATTCAGAAAGCAGACAAAATATATTTGCTGTACACTAATACACCGTAGATTATTCCGCCACTTCCGCCATGTATGGTTTACCGAACACCCGTATTAATAGACACTTTCAGCGCTCATACGGGCCCCCGACTCCAAGCCGCGTTGCTATTCGACGCGCCGCTGGAGTGGGGGGAGCGCGGGAGCGCTGAAAGGGTGTATGGGCGTCTGGATAGCCCCACAAGGTGAGTTTCTTGGCGCTCGGAATAGGAGTAGAGGGTTAGAATCGGGGGTTTTAAGACCGTGTGCCAACGCATTTGTTCGAAAACCTCTCTGCGGATAGGTTAATGAAGGTTCATTGTCCCACATGGCAGAGAAGATAATGCAAATATTTGAATGCAGCTTGCTGTAGGGGGGAGGGACAATCACTGGTTCCCGAAAAGCCAGTGCGACAGTGATTGTCCCTTCGTCGCAAATGAATGTCACTGGAACAGAATGGTACTCCTTTTCGCCCTCTGCGGTCTCTCGAACCCCATTACTAGTCCCACTGCCACTGAACGAACATTGCCATGTGTTCACGTCTCGCATAGAGACGATTTACAAGTTTCCTTGACTTTGACCTCAGAATCGCTTTTCAAATTGCGCTGAAATAATGAGAATTTCGAATCTCACTCGCAAGCCACCGCATAGTCCTCAAGAGGGAAATCACTTGTGTACTAACTCGTACACCCAGGCCTGTACCAAAGACGTACTAATAGCTTAATAACGCGTGCTAATGGTAAAAATCAAGCGTAACAGTGCCGAAGTGACATTATTTTGAATAAATGATAAAAATAAATACGCAACAAATAGGGTGTACTAACGTGTACTAACGTACTAACTCATACACTCAGATCTAGAGTGATTTCCCCCTGGATAGTCCTAGCCCAAACCCTTACCTAGCTATTGCACGGAGCGAATTGTGAAAAGTTTGATCAGCAGCTCGGTGGCAGGCAGGGAATGCACATATGCGCTTAAAGAGACAATTTCTGTATCCTCTACACCATAATAGAATTTTTCTCATGTCGCTGCAATTGGTAGTTTTCTCAAAGCAGATAATCTCCCAAACCTCCAAACCTATGCATTTCACAGTATTTGACAGGTCTGCCCCCTCAACGCCAACCGACTGCAATGCTACTGCCATTAAATCTGTTTTTGACTGTGCGCCGACTTACCTGGATGGTTGCGATAACTGCGTTGCAGAACGAGTGGGCCATGATCTTCGCAAGGTTTCCTGCGAAGAAATCTACCATGTCTAGCGTGACAAGGCGCAGCTGCTGATGCATTTTCACAGCGTTCTCTGTGGTTCTAGGTGTCACGTTGGAGATCAGGTACTGAGCCAAAGCATGATGCAGTCCAGCTGATGTGCAAGTGGCGCAACCCACAGCAGTGTACATCCAGACGACGCACAAGCATACTAAGCTGAGATGCACAAAGTTGTAGTACACCTGCCCGACGTGTTCGCCCCATGATCCCAAGTAGGGTTCAAACGGCCAAGAGATGTACAATGATGTGCCAGAGAGGAAAAGTTCCGTCCACAAACTACTAAATACGAATATAGCGTATGATAGGGTCGTTGCACAAAACATTCCAATGATGCGCTTCGTATTGTCCATCCATACCTAGATGATCAAAAATCTGTGGTAATTGATATCATATAACCTCGCGCTTTGCGACTTGCAAAGGGGCTTCTACATTGAGGTTGCAGCTACTAACTTAACTTACCTCTAATCCAGGGTGATTTCCAACACAGGATGTCATTTCGTGTCTTTTCCTTCTAGAAAATGCCTGTTGATAGCTATGAGTGCCCGTTCTTCTCCTATTCTCTAAACGTGGCACGGACTACAATATCCCGACGCGTTTTGGAATATACTAGCTCTAGTAAAAGCCTCAGTGGGTCAGACGGGTGCTCCCAGTAAGTTCCGTCACTGTCCGATTACCATAAACCAAAACTTCCTTTCGCTTCTAATTAAAATGCATGAGAGCTTACAGCAAACACAGCGCTGTTATTTAAAGTTCAGATCTTTACCAAAATTTTCGAGATGAACGGCTCCGAATTTCAAATTCGTTCTATCCAAGGAACGACCGACAGAAAATGTCCACCGTGGGCCACGCTTCGTTGTTTAGCTAATGTAATAGACGCGTTGTCTTCTTTTACGTTATATGTGTGCCTTTGATCGTGTGATTGTTTAGTGTGATTAGCGGGTGATTAGTTACCATGTCTAACGAACAATCGCCAGCTGCCGAGCAAGAATAAGAAAAGAGAAAAATGCTTCTGAAATTGAAAAAACAGTAGGCTATGTAAATGCATGTAAAGTCCGTTTCCTGGCACCACACCGTAACAAATTCTTCCCGGAACCGTTCTGTGCCTTAGAAACTTTTTCGGTCTAATATCTTTGAAGGCAGAAGTGGACGCATGAATGGATGCATGAAATGACGCATTTCCTAGAGTAGACATCATGTAGACATCCAAATAAAGCCACTTGTAATTTCCGTAATAAGTAAACTCCGTCACCATTTCCTCTAGGTGAATAAGGCTACAACTAGATCAGAACTTAATTTTAGCCTCAACCTCGAAACGTTCGCAACAAAAATTCAAAGAAAATCCACAATCATTATTTTTTATTACTTTGGCGAAGCAAAATGACATCTTGCGCTGAGAATCACCATACTGTTTTCTAAATGAAAGACCCTGGTGCTGGACTGGGCACTTGACCAAAGCAAGCATCCCTTTTAACACCAGCTAGTGCTTGAACAGCGTGACTGGATGTTTTGCCTTCGATAGGGTGTTCCAGGCTATCTAAAACGGAAGTGAAAATGAACAAACTCACTGATTTATCTGTTTCTGTCCGCCCAGTATGAGAAACTACCATGGCAGTTTGGTCCGATCCTAACCTCTCAAATATATAGGGGGGCTCGAAACTGATCTGACAGTTTCTCCTACCTGAAAAGCCGCGGAGGCACATGATTAGCTCGACCAATCAGGGCCATGACGGAAACAAAAAGGTAAGTGAGTTTGTTCTGTTCCTACTTCCGTTTTAGATTGCCTGGAACACCCTATTTCACTGATGATATGACAACGGGGTTTAGGTTCACCTCAGGGTTATTTTCACTTTTTCTGTGCGAAATGATGTGTACATGGTAACAATCATGCCAGCCAAACGGCATGTTGATATCTTGAACCGTTTGGCCTGTAGGCATAGTCACAAAGGGACATAAGTTCATCAGAGTTCTGACAAAGGAACATAAGTCCAGTGGGATCTGACAGAGGAACTTAAGTCCAAACATAATCTGACAGAGGAACGTAAGTCTACCGGTGGAATTTGACAGAGGAATATAAGTCCAGGTGAAGCTTTACAAAGGAACATAAGCCCACCAGTTGGATATGACAAAGGAACATAAGTCCAGGTGTAACCTCACAAAAGGACTTCCTAAAGACTTTCTAAACTACATTTGTCAAGACTTACTAATACTATGTATATAGAGACTTGACTAGACATTCTATGAATGATGAATCACCACTGCTCACTAAGGCAAATTCATTTGAGAGGCCCCTACAGGGAACGGCTAGTGTTGTGGAGCACTCACAGTATGTTGTGTCGCGTCCAGCATGTTGTCAGTCCACTCGAAGACACTTGTCCAGGAGGAGCATATCCACTTGACACACGTTGTGATGTTCATCTCGTAGTGTTCGTCAAACACCGAGAACAGGGTAACCGATTTAAATATTCGCGAACCATGAAAACACTTCTGATTGTGTGTAGTGCGAATTACTTCTATCAGATTGCATCACTAGCGAGTGAATATGAAGAAAACACATCATAACCAACACACGCACTGATGCATTGAAAGAGATCAAACCGTTATGAATAGTCAACATTTATTTTTAATTTTCGAAGCTCGGTCAGAAAATAAGGTCGACGAACTTGCTCGTTCAGAAACCACAAGCACATTTAGCAACATCTTTTCGGTTCTTCGAAAACAATTTGTTTACCCCATGATGTTGGTTTTCAAGGTTCGAGCGTCGTCTGCTGCAGCCGACTCGACTTGCAATTGTTTATATATGCAGGACATGTTTTTGTGTTGTACTGGGAGGCACTGCACAGCAGAAGCAGGCGAGTTTAGTTGTCGGTACCCTCTTATTGTGACGCTGGTAATGAAATCTGATAGAAGTCATTCGCGCTACACACAATCAGAAGTGTTGTCATGGTTCGCGAATATTTAAATCAGTTGCCTCTGTTCTCGGTGTTTGTCGAACACTACGAGATGAACTTCACAACGTGTGTCAAGTGGATATGCTTCTTCTGGGCAAGTGTCATCGAGTGGACTGACAACATGCTGGACCCGGCACAACATACTTTGAGTGCTCCACAACACTAGCCATTCACTGTAGGAGCCTCTCAAATGCATTTGCCTTAGTGAGCAGTGGTGCTTCATCATTCATAGAATGTCTAGTCAAATTTCTATACACTCACTTTTAGTACGCCTTGGCAAATGTAGTTTAGAAAGTCTTTAGACAGTTCGTTTGTGAAGCTACACCTGCACTTATGTTCTTCTGTCTAATCCCACTGGTGCACCTATGTACCTTTGTGAATCTGCACCTGGACTTACGTTCCTTCGTCAAACCGCACTGGTGGTCTTATGTTCCTTTGTCAGCTCATGCATGGACTTACGTTTCTTTTTCAGATCCACAAAAGGGTATCAAAACACATAAGTCCCACTAAAATCTGTTCTAATTGAGATACAGCTGCACATGTTTTGCAGAGAAGTAATGCCATGTGTTAAAAATGAGCTGATCCGAGGCTGCGGTTCAATGATATTTTACTGGTGTACAGCTGAGTGGAGCTGATGTTAACTGAAACTAAACTACTTTAAGCTGTTCCGAAGCTGATCAAACTATCAACTGGCTTTACCAAACTCGAAGCCAACCTGGTACTGACGTATTTACGTTCACGTGTAGAAATACTTTCAAAACTGAGAGTAACTGAACTAGTCAGTGAAATAAGACTGAACGTCAGCTGCGTCGCGCGGACCATCTCCTGAGGTAACAGATAGTAACTGATCGGGTAACTGATGTGGTACTGAGCAGTACTTGCAAGTCCATGGCTATTGTGACAATAAGTGGTTTTGTTAATACTCGTTTTTACATGCCCTATTGAGAGATTGGGCCAGGCGCGGTATAAGGGGGGGAGGGGCGATCCCCCCCCCCCCCCGCGGACCTGACGCTGGCTGAATTGAGCAACCTAAGCGTGACTCAGCAACGGTACAGCTTTCCGCAGTACATTTTTGTTACTAAGTAGAACTGACTAACACCTGATTCGGGGAGCTGATAGCAGTTCAGTCCACGATCAGGTAACAGCAGTGATCATCTGTACTGAATCGGACTTCTGTTTGCTGAGTCGTGGCTACTTAGGTCTACTCAGCTGACGTCCAGCCAAAGGCAGCCAGAGCAAGCTGAACTGCGACTGAAGCTAACTGAGTGGGGAAAGTGAGCGTGACTCAGTAACTGTACAGTTTTCGTACCGTAGATTCAGGTTACTGAGTCGACAAGTGTTCAAGCAGTCGGCTTGTCAAACCGATTGTGATATTCTTAGTTTTAGAGTCGCGGAAATCGTCCTTCAAAGTTTTGCGAGTGTCCGGGGAAAAGAAACGAAAGTGATGGAATTGGATGCAATTGGAATTGCTCGTTTTTGGCACTTATTGTTGGTTTAGGGACGAATAACTTTCCTATTTCACCTCTGATCGGCTTTGAGCATATGACATTTTCTTTGTAATTTTAAAAATGGAATCCAAATCTTGTATTACATAATTTTGTAGCTTCTAAAAATCCTTATTTTCAATTTTGTTATTTTAACAAAATGAAATGGTGCTTACTTGGAGAATGATTAGAGGTTGCCCAATCTTTCAATAGGACATGTAAAAATGAGTATTAAAAAAACAACTTATTGTCACAATAGCCATGGACTTGCAAGGGACCAAACAATAGCCAATATCGCAAACTCAGGTACGATAGGCCCATCGAAATTGGGACAAGGTACGCCATTTTTGACTGAGCGATAGCGAAGCCTATTACTCCAGTGATGATCAAAAAGTTTCGTGTGTGTGTGTGTGTCTGTGATCACGATAACTCGAAAACGGTTTGAGCTAGGTACTTGAAATATTTAGTGTAGCTTTGTAGCAGAAAAAGCAGGAACTATATTGATTTTACGCCCTCCAGCTTA